TCTTCCTCCTCTCTTTGTCCTCTAGGCAGATAAAGAGAGATTTAAAATTATTGCTGAGGGTAGAGATTGCGGGCTTGAAGCAGCTGCTGATGCTTTTGTAGTTAAAAATGTTAAAGATAAAGGTACATATTGTTGTCCTATTTTTATTTTTTTTGTTTAGGGACGGTCTCAAAGTGTTAGATTTCTTTATGAAAAAGAAAACTGATCAAATCAATAATAAAGTTAACGTGTAAGTACAACATGCATTTGTGAAGCAAGAGTGCATATAATGTATCCATTCCGTCTGTTTTATAGCGATTTGTATGTGTACCTACTTCCATTCTCTCTTGATCTTTCCTTTTATTATTACTTTCTCTCTCCCTCTCTCTCATGTCCAGTGCTTGTATTCCTGTTGGTTTACATAAACCATTTCCCAGTAATTCTCTACAGCTAATGGTACAAGCTGGAGCTAAAGGCTCTACTGTAAGTACATGATCATACAGATACTGTACATGTACCGTATAATCCTTAAATAAAAGCCTTGTAGATACTTCCTTAGGCTCCTGATGTCAAATGCTTGAGTTAACTGGTTCGAATCCAATTCTGTGCACAAGTTTATTTATTTTTTTAATTTTTTGAGGTCCAAATACCATTTTAAGAAGTAGATGCCCAGGCTTTTAAATTTAAGGAAATACGGTACATGTAGTACATGTACATGTATGCACATAAATTTTTGGCATAAATACATGTATAATGTACATGTATGATTGTTATACAGTTGCATGTACACGTATATCATACTGGCTTAGCATTATTTTTATATCAATACATGTACAGTGTACACACCTTACTGTCACTTTCTCTCTCTCCAAAGGTCAACTGCATGCAGATATCATGTCTTTTGGGTCAGATAGAGTTAGAAGGTCGACGCCCACCAATAATGCTATCAGGACGGTCCCTACCTACATTCCTTCCTTACGATACCACTCCTAGATCAGATCAGTGTAGTGTGTATATACATGTACATGTACATTGCTTCTGAATTAAGCGTAATTAATGATCATGCTAGATTTAGTATTTTTTATTTCTCTATCCTGTAGGTGGTTTTGTTGATGGTCGGTTTCTAACTGGCGTAAGACCCCCAGAGTTCTTCCTTCATGCTATGGCTGGACGAGAGGTTCAGTGAATTTTGTGTGTCTCAGACCCCTTGATACTTTTTTGATAGGGTCTAGTTGATACTGCTGTGAAGACAAGCCGCAGTGGGTATTTGCAGAGGTGTCTCGTAAAACATTTAGAAGGAATTACTGTCAATTATGATCTAACAGTGAGTTACATGTAATAGTATTGATATTTTTGTGAATTTATAACTATTTTCAAAATTTGCCTGCACTGTACATGTACATCAGAAATGAAAAGGAGAGAATTCTCAATTTTTGTTAAATTTCCTGATGCATAAATTATACATGTACATTGTACATGTGCTGCATAGAAAGTTTGAACTGATTCCAATCATATTCCGATTTTTTACAAATAAAAAGTTGCTCAAAAATCATGTTAATTTTTTTCTAATTTGAAATGGAAAAGTTTGCCTTTCTATAATTTTGTTTGTAGCACTTTATTTTGTGGCCTTCATGGTTCTTCAGCTGACCATGAAATCTAAGACTATGAAATCATTCCCCCTACAGGCCATGTAAACTGTCAGCCACAAAATTAAAACCACGAATTGCCCCGCTAGGAACAAACCATGTAATATTAGACCCACAAAAATAACCAGCTATACTGTATACATGCAATGTTGTGTAAAATGTTTGAGCTGATTCCAATCGAAAGTAGATTTTTTATTAATTTTTGAAGCTGTTGTTCTTATTTTGTGTACATACATGTCTAATGTTTTTGGTTTCTGTCTCAAGGTAAGAGATAGTGATACCTCTGTTCTTCAGTTCCTTCATGGTGAGGATAGACTGGATCCAATCCCTTTTATGTAGTATAATATCTATGTCTACCAGGAGACTATTAGACCACACCCAGGAGGTCTGTGGGATTCACTGGCCACCAAATCATCAGCAACTGGTGTCAGGAGGAAATGATAATATAGTGAGTTTATGATTTTAATTTTTTATTTATGTAAATCAATGCCCATGCATTTTTCCAAAAATTGTTCCAAAATCACCCCTAATAATATGTACATTTTCTGTTACGTATTGATATCCTTATGCTGTGTAGAAATTTGAACTGTTTCTGACAAATAATTTTCAAGTTATTAGCATTTTTAAAATAGGTCAATTTAAAAAAATACCCAAGGCTATAGCCCATGTTTTTTTCTGAAAAATGGCTCCAAAATCACCCCCAATTTTTATTACATTTTCTGATATATATTGATGTCCTGCTGCGTAGAAAGTTTTGTTTCAGAATAATTTTCAAGTTATAAGCATTTTAAAAATTAGACCAATTTTTGAAAAATACCCAAGGCTGTAGCCCATGGTTTTCCTGAAAAATGGCTCCAAAATCACCTCAAATTTTTATTACATTTTCCGATACATATTGATGTCCTTATGCTATGTAGAACATTTGAGCTGATAATTTTGAGTTATAAGAATTTGAGAATTTCAAATACTGAGCCACGTTTAAAGAAAGCAAAGGCTATGTGCATCCATGTACTGTACATGTACATGTCTACGTGCATTTTCTTTTCCTTATTACATGATACATTGTTTATTGTTATAAAAATGTTATCATTAGGTTATGGTATACTGTTACTGTTCTTATGGGGTACCCAATGTATGCTCCTTGTCATCAAAGAGGGTAAGTCATGTTACTTCTCATGATGTCATTCCATTCTTTCTCTCTTGATCCTCTCTCTCTTCCTCCTTCTACTTTCTATAGAAGAATTACTCTAACAACTAGATCAGTAGCCTTGCTGAGGAAAATGATTGTTGCTATGACAGCTGTACATGTAGAAATACTTGAGAATATTTTACAGTTTTCTTTATTTTATTTTCTAATTTTTTAAAAGCAATTGCTTTGATAAAATCAGCTACAAACAAAACAACAACAACAACAATAAACATTATCTAAATATTATTATATTTTTCTAATAGTTTATCAGCTAATGCAATGGTTCTTCTAGTACCTTCCTCTCTAAGTATATCTAAGAATATACCAAATACTTCTCCTTCCATACTAATGGAGCTTGAAATGATGTGGAGTAATTCATCCATTCTTTCACCAGCAGTGTGTTTAGTGTAGCCATCAGTTATTTCTCTCTTCTCTCTTGCATTGATAATATTGTTTTCCAGCAACTTGTCAACTAAGAAGTGAATATCTATTCCGCAATTCTTTATTAATGAAGTACATTCTGTCATTACTCTATGAGCAATATCAGATCTAAATGTACCTATTAATGATACAAATTCAGTGATTAGTGTGTTATTATGTTAATATCAACCATACCTTTTTCAGTCTCTCTCCTGGTTTGGCTGATACTAGCAGTAGAGGGGCTTGAGCTAGTATCTTGTACTGTTGAAGGAGGAGGAGGAGCAGTTCTCAGTGATCGATGAATGAATAATGTAACAGGATCAGCCACTCCATCCAGTGGTACAGAGTAATGTAGTGATGGTACAGCATTTGGTGATGCATATACTGATATCAGGCAACGTGAAGGAAGAGGATAATTAGCATCACCAAACTTATCAACATCACAACGAAGAAACTATTAATATTCATCAGTTATACATTATATTGCAGTACTTACTCGGCAAGGCTGAAGGTGAGGCTCAATACTCCAACCAGTGTAAGGTTTCTTTTGTGGAGCATCAAACTTCAATTCAACACATCCATCATAATCTTTGAAGCGAAATAGAATATCTTGGTCAACTTCAGCTTGAGAGTGTCTTTTATCAATAAACTGTTAGCAACAAGTATTATTAACGATTAAATGTATAGACATTATTACTAAAAGATTTACCTCAAGCAGTGCATTAAGGCTTTTAGCAACAGTAAATGTCACCAAATCTTCAGCTTCTTTTTTCTCATAATAAATGAGTCCAGCATATGTCATATTTTCAACTACACCAGTGGAAACTACTACTTTACCTATACACAAAATAATATTCACTGCATCTGTAGGTTGATGTGCTTATATATACTTTCAGTGCAATGTATTGGAGCAGTTGCTTCTTTATGCTGTGGTTCTTCATGATCCTTTGACTCTTCTACTCTTTCATTATCTTGCTCTTCATTTCCTTCCTCATGTAATGGCTGACCTCCAGTCTCCCCCTCTTCCTCTACTCCCTCATTACTAGTAGACTCTCCTATATAGTGGAATAGATTCAGTTCATTATATACTAGTACACACTCACTGACTCATTATACTCACCTTGTCCTCCACTGCTACCTCCTGGTGGATCTTCAGCCTTATCAGAATCACTGGATGAATCACTATTACCATCTTCCCCTTCCTCCTCAGTTTCCTCTTCTGCTTGTTCCTCTTCCTCCTCCTCCTCCTCTTCCTCTGACTCGTCTCCATTAGTTGATGATTTGGGTAGATGTTTCTCTCCAACAATAGCTACCAAACAGAACTCTTTACGTTGAATGGATCCATACCAACTATCAGGTTTAAACTCTCCTCCCTCAACTATGGAGAACTGGTAAGGAAGACTGGGTGTGCTCACGGGAGCTATGGCAAACTTGAGATGACAATTAAGAGCTGGTTGTCCTGTTAAATCAAGGCAGTGCTGTATTTCTAATATGAGCCGTTTGAGGAGAGGCTTTGAGAGTGATACTGCATACACAGCACTGACCAGGACAGTATTAGGAGGAAACTGGAACTGTCCTCCTACAAGAGCAACCACTGCTGCTTCTACAGTCTCAGAGGACAGTAAGCTCTCCTTTTGTACTCCAATCCTTAAACCATATTTCTCCCAATTTATCAGTTGAGGTTTGTCTCCTTGAATCAAGAAAAGATTCCTCTCTGCTACCTGGACATCACTCAGACAATCCAATTTATCTGTCAATTATACAAAATATATACAATGAGTACACACACAATTGTATACACTCAGTCAGGGTTTCCCAAAAAGCATGCTAAGTGAGCTAAACAGCATGAGCTAACAAGCACTACAATTAATACAGTACAAGGAATTTGAAGCAACTTTAAAAATTCATAAAATCCAAACTTGACTGGAATCAGTTCAAACTTGCTACACAACATAAGAACATGTATATGTATCAGAAAAAATTATAAAAATGGAAAATTCCCTCCTAGTGATTTTTGTCAAAATACACTGTACTAGGAGCACTATGCTGGTAAACCCTGCACTCAGTCAGTCACATATACACAATGATACTCCTACCCATTGAAGGGATCAGGTAATTAAATTGTAGTCCAATGGAACTAGTTTCTTTGCTTCTCTCTTGTCTTTCCTTCACTAGTTTGGCTATGTACAACTCCTTTTCTTTAAGGTCTATAAATTATAGAATATTAATAATTATTATTGATTGATGATGATACACTAACCAGTAATGATCTGTTTCTCATTCTGTGATTGTTCCTCTACTTGTGATGTCAGTTTGGCTATAACTTTGTCTTTCTCAGAAACGTCAGTTTTCAGATTTTGAACATCGTCTACACAATAAACATATTCTCTCATCTAATACATGAGGTGTGTATAGTTAACTAACCAATAATGATCTGTTTCTCGTTAAGATATTGTTCCTCCATATCAGCTACTTTGAGTTTCAGTTTCTCATAATCTTCTACATTAATAGAATATTCTCTCATTTAATATCAGTACTGATGATACACTAACCAGTAATAATCTGTTTCTTCTCCTCTACTTGTGTCTTCTCTTCCAATATTTCAGCAACTTTAGCTTTAAGCTTCTCATCATATTCTATTATCAATAAAAATACAAAAGATATAAAATGATATTTGTTGCTTAAACAAATTTGCACTGTATGTACAGTAGCCCATAAATACATGTACTATGATTATTGCTAATGATACCATACATGGTAAGCAGAGCTCACTCTACATGAATCTTATTATTTCTAATGCATGGACAATTTCACCTATAGTGAGTACAGAATACTATTTCCATACTCAACATTCTCTAATCCACTAGTATTATAATGTAAACAATGTACACATAAACAACAGTATAACACAATAGTACCTAATTCAAGACTTGATTTATCCTTTTCTGCTTGCTCAAGGAGAGTGGTAGCATCATCAAGTTGCTGAGTAAGTGTTGCCTTTTCTTGAAGAAGCTGTTGCTGCTCTTTGTCTCGATCTTGTTGTATCTGCTCCTTCTCTTTTATTTGTCTTTGAAGCTGTTCCTCATAGAATTCTCTCTCTCTTTCTTGTAGGTGACCTCTGAGTAATTGAACCTCTTTGCTTAATCCTAAATTCTCCCAATCACTCAGTATCCTTCTTCTTAGATGATCTTGATACTGGTCCAGAGGTATTACACTAGTAGACCAATCATTATCACTGGAATATCCTATACAGTAACAAAATAGTGTATAGAATAAGAATACACAAATTAATTAAACTTAGTTACTATGGTAACCTTATTATTGATGGATTCATGTTTAATCATTGTATGTGTGACCTCTGTCAGTTTACACAGTTAACCACATGAATATATTATTGTATATAAATACACTGATAATAATATTTCATTCACTCTAGCTCCTATTAATATCAGTGTTTCTGTATCTGCAGTCATTATATTTCACTATTGTACATAGCAGGAATGAATTGGTAATAATTAGTATCATAGGTATACGTCAAATGCTCTCATTAAATATTCACCATAAGAATTACTTACTTTATTGTAATATTATCATTACTAATTATCATTACATATCATCAATACACATTGTATCTATTACTGTCTACATGTTCTTACGAAGTTCAATAACTGCTGTATCAGCGTTTGATGTATCTCCTCCAAACTCAATTATCCAGTTAGTAGTTGGGGTCACACTCCACACTGAGAGAGAATGCCAGTATCTGTTAGTGACATTGTCTGGTAGATTAATCTATAAAATTAAATTAGTAATAATTAATTTGTGTATTACATAATAATTGATTTGATATCTGGTTAATAAACACAATAACTAAGTGACAGTTTTATAGTCTGCACAGTGTGTTTATGTAACACAAAAGATGACATAATAAAATTAATAATACACAATATATTAATAGACAAGTATACACAACTGAGTGTGTTATTAAATCATGTGAGTCCTTAATTAAGAACTTACTAAGTGTCTGCATGTACTCACATACACATACACATACTAATGACACACTAACACACATACATGTACATCTATACATGCATAGACATATAATGGTACATGTAAAGCATGCATAATTGCTCACACACATACATACACATGTACATGCTACATGTACACATGATGCATGTGTTAGTACACACATACATATTAAAACATATGCACACATACACACAAATACATGTACCGTATGTACATACACAATGTACACAATGTATATAAAATAGAATTTATTTTAATTCCAGCATTGACACTCTATCTATTGTGAATCCATCTTTACACACACACACACACACAGACACATGTATATTCACACATATTTAGCTAAAGAAACAAACACAAAACACAAAAAGACACAAACACACATTCACACTAAAAACAGACACACACACACATACTGAATACCAGCATTATTCATGGTATTTTTCACTGAGTATCATAATATGTACATGTACATTACAAACCGCATGAGTTACAAATTTAGTTAATCACTTTATGTTTCATTATCAAGCATCATAATATGTGACCATAATTGACAAAAGGGCCCTTATGGCGGATTTTAAAATTGATCTTAATAATGGCAAATATCAACCTGTGAGTGCTTTGTTCGACAATCATTGTTTCTAAAAGTTTCATGGTAACTTTTTGCATCCTGTGGAGTAATTTTATGATAAATGGGGCTCAGGAAGTTGGATTTCTGAGGCTAGAAAGACAAATTTCACTACCCGCCATAAGGTACCTTTTGTCAATTATGGTCACATATAATACTTACCAGTTCTTTCCATTTTCTTTTGTTAATGTCCAGTAACCATACATCATAGGCATATGATCCACCCACCACTAGTAAGTGTGGTCCTGAACTAGTGGTAATCAGTACACTGGAATGAGCCATTCTACCCTCATGCCATTGTACTGATTCTGCAAGATTAGGTACTTCTAATATATCCTTAGAGAAAAATTTAAAAAATGTAATAAAATAATTAATTATATAGAATGTGTTCATGAAAAAGATTGTGATAGAGACAAAATAATCTGCATTGCATTGAATTGAAAGCTAGAATACAATTGTTTCAAATAAAATGTAATTGAAAATCAACAATTAAATTTCACAGTCAAAACCCATCCTACAGTATTAACTCACCACTGATGTCTTAGTGAAACTTATCATATACAGTTTATTACTCTCTCCATTATCAGTAAGGCCACCGAACATTACCGCAGTGTTATTAGTAACTGGTGTTAGAGTGAAGTTTTCAATAGGAGGTGGTCTGTCTCCAGTAACAACAGGAGATATCCATTGACCTAATAATAATGTACAAACATTCATGTACACTTACTACCACATACACACACATCCATTATACACATTCATCATACATATGTATGTGTATATGTGTGTACATTATTATTTATACATACACATCATACATAGACACACATCACTATCACATGATACACAAACACACACACACACACACACTCATGTATGGATACACACACACCACACCTGTACACATGAAGGAGAGGTCCAGGGGGTCTCCTTATTTCAAGATTACTAATCTATTCTGGTACAAGTCCAGTGGCATAGCCAGGATTTTTGGAAAGGGGGGGTAAGCTGTGTGGCGCGCGAAGCGCGCCGCAAAATTTTGCGGAACCACGCCCTTTTGGGGCGTGGCCACACCTATTTTTCAACATGGTGGCCTTCTTAACCGATCATAGGCAACGTTGAATACCTTTTCAGCCTTATAATGGCATCATAGAAAGACTGCTTTGGCCTTTTCCTTTGATATGTAAGTTGTAGAACAGCTTTTCCTTCCAAAAGCAGCTTATTATTTGATTATTTTTAAATTTTGAGTTTAAAAAAAGGGGGGGCAATTGCCCCCCTTGCCCCCCCCTGGCTACGCCCCTGATGTCAGTTATGATTGTTAATGAATAATTATACAAAACTCATGGAACATTGTATGTTGGTAATTTGTGACTCATGTGATACAGAACTTTATTAAAAATGATAATAAATAGCATGAACCTACACACACACACAAGTCACATTAGCTTATGTATAGATACATGTACATATACAAACATCACACACACAGATACATGATAATACTCACACACACATAACATGCACATTATAGATACACATCACATACACAGTCATATATTCATAAATTCTCACATACATTATATGCACTATCATACACAGACACATCATAATGTATGTATTAGTACACACACACACACATCACATATAGACACATGTTACCATCACACACAAACACATGACACACAGAGACACACTAACAAACACACTTAATTAATATCAATCTGTTTTATGTACATTAATATAAATTATTCAGTTTGAAATACTGATCAACTATTGTGAATCAATGATGAGAATTACTGACCTGATGAAATCCTGTAATAATGTATCTCATTACATCTCAAATCACCATAATAATAATTATACTGAGCATTAGGTTGCTTAGGTGTAGAAGATGAACCCAGTCCTCCAATTATTACAAGATAATCTTCACCGTCAAAATGAGCTGACACCATTCCACAGAATCCCTTCTTCATTGGATCATAATCAGAACTAGAAGGAGAGAGTTCCCTCCACTTGAATGAATCCACATTGAAACAATGTAAGCTGTTTTCATAAATAACACTGCCAAATCCACCGAAATAATATATGTCCTTTCCTATAGCGACTGATGAATAGCCCCTGGTACCTGGTGGCCATGTACCAGTAGTAGGTTTCTGGTCCCAAGCACCAGTTGGTAAGTGATACACTTCTATTAAATCATAGTGTACTCCAGACCCGGCCCCACCCCACATATATAGGTAGTCTCCTACCTTTACTGTGGAGTGTCCCGATCTCTTCACTGGTTGATAGTCTATAGAGAACAAGAGGTACCCGCAGTAACAGAGTAACAGTAATATAGTGATGAGTTAGAATAAGGACAGGATACAGAGGAGTAAAGTAAGTAGTAAGAGAGTAAGAGAGACAAAGAATGAATGAAAGAGATACAAAGAGAAGAGAATAGTGGCCCTCACTTTTAGATGCCATTCTTGCAAATACCAGCCCCACCCTAGCCATAGATATTAGAGTTACGCCCTAACCATAGATATTAGAGTACACAGGGATTGGAAACGGGGGCGTAGGCTGGTTGATGTTGCTATTGGTTACCGGCCCAAAACCTGGTTGATTTCCCATCTCCTCCATTAGTGAGGCTGTACTGCAAGGACTTCGAAGGATATTTATGGAGATCCAAGAGGACGCTTACTTATGATATACCTACCGTTCGATATAGAAAGTGTTGGACTACCTGCAGCAAGGTTTTTACTTCTACAACGTTATTTTGCAACGAGTTATAGGTACAACAAAATTTTTTCATTTTTCGCCCTTTTTCTGTAGTAACAAACTCATGCTTCATGGATTCTAACCTTAACTAGTATCATTCGATATGCAAATGGAAACTCTTTCATATGATTATAAAGATATTGCATTTTACTCTAGCTTGTAGTTTTCAAAAAAGGGATTATAATGACAAAAATACATTTTATGGTTTTAAAAGTGCCATAACATTAACATGGTAAAATTATCTACAATAGAAAACAGAATTATAAAGAGGAAACATTAGGCTTCTTGATGCATTAATTTCACTTGCATAGGAACACTTGTTTGCGAGATATTGCTCCTAAAAGAAAGAAAATCAAGGGTAAATTGTGACAAAACTGAAATTTCAGCGAGCCTCTGTCAGCCTAGCGGAGGTTGGGCTGCGCCCACGCTTCCGTTTCCAATCCCTTTCATTTACTCTAATATCTATGCCCTAACCATAGATATAGAGTATAAAGGGATTGGTAACTGCGTAGGCGGTAGTTATCACCGTATAGAGGAGAAGAGCCAATTTTTGCCAGAGAATGACAGGTTTATAGGATTTCAAAAGAACATATCAATACCATTACTAGCCAGTTCACTAAAGCAATATGCCATCTGTTGCATGTGTTTCTTTCTTGGCTTAAATATTTACTGTTTCGGAGAAAAAGGTACAGAAACTACGGTCACTTTTACAACACAAAATTTGAGTTTCTGGAGAAGATGTATGAACTACAAGTCTGAGAATACCCTAGTTCCATGCAACTCAAAGCGCTTGATTGTTTTATGCTTGCATCTTTGTTGTAAAACGAGACATTTTAGTAAAAGGTACAGAACATCAGAAAAGAGGTCCCGCTTGGGCGGTAATGAATGAAACAGCTTGTTACTTTTGTAAGTTTTGAGTAACTGTATGAAATTTGGATTGATAAATATAGAACTTATAAGGTATTTTATGCATATTTTTGTTAATTTTTTGCAACTACTGGGACTAAGTTATGAACAGAGAAAAGTGGACCTCTCCCGTTGCTAAGGAGAAACTAGGATGCGGGAAGTGATAACTTCGCCCTCCATTGGTTTATACAGGCCGCCCACGCAGTTTCCAATCCCTTTATACTCTAAGACCCCGTTTACACTAATCCGTTATGATAAAATTAGCAAAACGCATACTATCTGGATTGCATGTTTACACCAAGAGTAGAATTGAAGAGTCACATTCAGGATATTTTCAGTATTTTATTTGAGTAGTTATTATTATTGCTAGTTATTTTTGAATAACTACTCTAAAATACTGAAAATATCCTGAATGTGACTCTTCAATTCTACGACGTGATGAAGCAGGGGGTATATCACAGTAGGACACTCTCTTCTATTATCTACTCTTGTTTACACTTATACACTAATTGATTAATTATTCATGACATCAATAATTAGTCACGTGACTTCTATAATTATATGCGCGGGAATGATAGCAAGCTAGCGACTGAGCTGACTGTTCATGATGATTGCTGCAGCTAGAGGAGAGGCTAAAAGAGATTTTAAGTGGACTGATGACGAATGTGAACTGTTGCTACATGTAACCTTGGACTATAAAGTAAAGAAATCATCTGAAAATGTAGATTGGGAAAGTATGAAAACCAAGTACGACGGGCGATATATTAGTCATGATGAGGGCTGAAATGCCAGCAGACAAAACTGAAAGGCCAGTCAAGGAATATATTCACCTGAGAAGTGAGATGACTAAGGCAATTCTTTCAACAAAATTGAAAAACATAAGGCAAAAATACAGGCAAGCTGTAGACTCTGGAAGGAGAAGTGGGCACGGATATCTATGGCCCTAACTATATATGCAAGATAAGACCACACCCATCTGTCCAAATTCATAAAATCAAAATGAGTTCCAGTCGTGGTGCCAGTAGAAAATCTGCTGGTTCAGTCTACTAGACTCAAGCCAAATCCCAACTTCTTCACTTCTCCTAGTCAAAGTGATGGGGTAGGTAAGGAGGGGACGGGACCCACTAAAAGCCGGATCCGGGTCCGGATATGGAAGCTAAAAGCCGGGTCCGGGTCCAGGAAAAAGCTGGGTTTATGCCCGAATATGTCCGTATATAGCCGGAGGAGTTCTGCTCCGGATACTCTGATGATAGCCTCGTGTTGTGTACACGTGGCGCATATTATGATGTCTGATGATGATGGTACCGGCAGCTACTCCTAGTCCTACTAGTAATCTCTTTAATGACTGTTTTTTTGATGAAAATGATACTAATGATTCTAATTCTGGTAAGTGTTAATGCTGCACTGAAAATTATAATAAATGCCATTTTAGCCAGATCTACTACGAATTTAGTGGCAGCTGCCCGACAAACCACCCCCTGGAGTAATGATAATAATGGCAGTGATCAGAGCTGTGATTTAGATTCCACTAACAATTCAGATAGTAATATGTATAGTGATGAAGATGACTTGAGATTACCAGGTGAATATATTTCAGTTGCAACAACCATTCATTTATCAAGTATCAATAATGCATACACCATTATGATCAGTTTCCGTAGCTTTGAATGATGTTTTCACTTATTCATGTTTCTTCTATACATGGTTTTGGGGTCCCATTATTTATATTCATGATAGTATAACTGTAATCCATAGCTTCAAACAAATTATCATGTGCTAATTTTTTGTTAGCAGTTTGTGTTTCAAATGTTCCTGTAAATGATGAATCAGAGGGGTGTATGCCTTTATCAAAGAAGTCCTCAACCAATCTTACTACAAAGACAGTGTTAAGCATATTTCAGAAAGCTCGAACCAAATACAAGGCTGAATTTTTGAAGCTTCCTCCTGTGCTACCAACTGGAAGTCAGATGTTTTTGTATGCATTAGGGAGCAATGAGTCATTGTGGGAAACAGAACGCAAGAAGCTTTGGTATGTTCTCATTTTGAAAACTCTTAAAGTTATGATTATTTGTTATAGATGTGATCAGTATCGTTGGGCACATTTGGGTGTATATGACATAAAGTATAAAGGAACTGAGCTTAAAAAGCGGTGTAATGCTGTTGATGATGGTACATGTGATAGGAAGAAAGGGAATAAAGCTTTTCAACGATGGGAGTACTGGGGTTATGAGGATTTATATCTCATCCATTACACTGGGAATCACAAAGTATTTACACCATTTAAACACAGAGGTGCAAAGAATTCCAGGAGACCATATATTCGATCAGCTCCATACGTAAAAGAAAAGGTAAATAAATATTTTAAGAAAGTGATAGTAATTTCTTCCAGGTGCAAGGCAGTAATGCACTGAGTACTCCTAAAGCTGTTCATGCAGATATTATAAATTCTGATGCAGGTGGTCTGAGGCATGCAGTAAATACTCCTCGTGATATTAAACAAGTAAATGTATAATTGTGTAAACTTTGCATTATGTTATTATCGTGAAATGCATATAATTAGGTTAGAAATTTCAAGGATGCTATTGGTAGGAAATATCGAATGTCACATGATGCTCTGTACAATATGCATGAGCTGCATAGCCAGCTGATTCAGGAACACAATGGAGTGTCAAAAAGTTTTGTGAGTCACATGTTGTCGATACCCAGGATTGTTGTTCATTTGATACCCCATCTTCTGTTACACTCCCTTGAGACACTTTTGAAGGTTTCATCATCGCCAGTTACTCTGCATTATGGCACAGTATTTAATGTTGACGACTTCTATTTATCAACTGTTAGTTTTCGAAACCATCTATTTGAAAAGGAGCCAATCATTCCTTGTGGATTTTTATTGCATAGTAGACGATTGCAACAGGATCACAGAAATTTCATCCAAGTGTTAACCAAGGAGCTTCCAGTATTAATAACTAAACGCCTTAACATAGTGACAGATCGGGAGTTCAAGTTCAGTGATTTATTTCCATGTGGTACCCATTTATATTGCTGGAATCACATCAGAAGAGACTTGCAATGGCACCTCAAAAGCCGCTGCAATTGCACAGCTGATGAAATCTGCTACTTTGTCAATCTCTTTTGTAAGTTGCAGTTACTAGAAAGAGAAGATGAATTTGATAAGCAGTGGAGTATTACAAGAGAAAGTGCTCAGTTTAAAAAGAAGCCCAAAGTACTTGCATACTTTGATAATCATATAATACCACCATTTAAAGTACATGCTTCCATTTGAGTTTTACGAAATGCTCAAGTGAGAAATCCCTGCAATGGTATTACAAACAATCCATCAGAATCTTTTAACACTGTTTTGCATCATTTGCAGCAATGGAAACAGGTTCCATTAGATGTTATTACTATTTCACTGTATTACTTATCATCTTACTATCATCGTGAGATCACCCGGTCAATGCACCAATGTGGAATGTGGCAGTTGAAAGAAGAATATAATTTTTTGCTTAGAGACTCTTCTACAATGCCTCATCTCCTTCCAGTATGGGCTCCTAAAGATATAGTAGAAAAAGTTAGTGCCTCTCATGCATGTGATCAACTCACCAATGATCCACCTGCTGAAACTGTATGTAAATCCAAACGTCCTGTTAAAAATGATATGCATCTTGGCCTAGCCAACAATGCTGTAAATTCGAATAGAGTGAAACCGTTTGGTGATGGTAGTTGGATTGTCATGGAAGCAGATGGAATAACACCACATTCGGTGAGGCTACAATCCAAAGCCATCTTGTTCATGTGTTGCTACCAGAACCTGCTTCCATAACTGGTTCATGGGATTGTAAAGCAACAAATGGCAACCCTCCACTGTGTGCTGGTGGATGTTCATCTGTTGCCATTGGAAAAAATATCTGTTTCTTTGGCGGTGCTAGGAGTGGTGTCCATCGCAATAGCTTGTACTCCTTCAATGTAGATTCATTTGAGTGGAGAGAACTCTCTCCTTCTAGTTCTGATCGTGGTCCAATGAAGAAGAGCTACTGTGGAATGGTATCAGTTCATTTTGACGGTGAAGACTATCTTGTCATAATTGGTGGAAGTAGGGGATACTCTTCCATCAATACTCCAAAGCAACCTGATGCTCAGTATTCAGCTAATGGTAAATGTAATGAGATACATTATTACAAGATTTCATCAGGTCAGTAATTCTCATCATTGATACACAATAGTTGATCAGTATTTGAAACAGAATAATTTATATTCATGTACAAAGAACAGATTGCTAATAATTAAGTGTGTTTGTTAATGTGTCTCTGTGTGTCATGTGTTTGTGTGTGATGGTGACGTAGTCTGGTAACCAGCCCCTTGCAAAACATGCGTAGGGTCTGGTATCACGCCCATATAGCATTGGTTCTGTAGCGCAAAAATTTTGCGGCCCAATCAAATTGCAAGACAAATGTGACATCACATTTAAATGGCAGCTCTCGAAAATCAAGAAGCAGTCGTTGCCGCTAGGGCAGCAGTTTCTCTTGGTTACACAACTATAAAGCCAATGCAGAAACTTGTAATTGCATCCGTATTAAGAGGGAAAGATGTTTTTGCAATGCTACCAACTGGGTAAGTTTATTGAGCGCTAAATGCTTGCCGCTTCAGGCTTCACTGACTGTACTCATTATGCAGCTATGGCAAAAGTCTTTGCTACCAAGCTCTGCCTATAGCATTTGATCAACTTCACCAATTAGCTAATGGTACAACTATTGTTCTAGTTATTGGCCCCTTAAAAGCTCTATTGAAAGATCAGGTCGGATTGTGGTCAATAGTATTACATGCCATGCAGCACTGATATATTATAGGTCTCTTCGTGTGCCA